AGGTGTAACCGCAGAAGCGGAGGAAATGTCACCTGCGAGACCGCAGATGCAGTTAAGTGGGTGGTAGGTGCGAAAGCACTGGCAGTGTACAACAATTCAAGGGTTCCGAGGTTTTGTCATTTTTGGACTAGCAAACTCGGATTAAGGCGATTTTTTAGAGAGATTTCGAGGGGTTTCTTGAGATAAGTCACTATTGATCATTTTTATGTAATAATATTGTTTCCCCATTGAATTTCCCACCTAGTTTGTGTGTTTTTTAGGTAGAATTTTGGGCTAGGGATTGGAGAGTTAAATTTGGGGATTTGAGTGACAATTTGGGGTCGGAATTTGGTAAATTTGGTATGAGACTCGTGGTTGAATGGGCTTTCGGACTTTGTAACTTTTATTGGATTTTGAGATGTGGGCCCGGGGTTGACTATTGAGTTGACTTTTGGACTTTTCATTTAGAACTTAGCATTTTCATATGGAATTGAATCATATAGCTTGAGTCGATTGTATCGAATTGTTTGTAGCTAGATTCGAGGCATTTTGAGGCTAATTCGCGAGGCAAGGACTTATTGGAGTAGAGATTTGCGCGATTAGAGGTAAGTAACTCTTCTAAACTTGGTTCTGAGGGTATGAATCCCTAAAAATTACATGCTATGTTATTGGTGTTGAGGTGACGAGCATGCTAGGTGACGGGCATGTGGGCATGCACCATAGTAATTGTGATTCACTTGATTCTGTGGAACTGTGTAGTTATCTTACCTGAATATTATTACTGTACTCTATGTTTTAGAGCATTTGAACTGTGATTTATGTTGGAAATCATGTTTAGGCTATGTGTTGGTACCAATGGTCCTTCTTTGTTGTTGAGTTATTTGGTTAATCGATGTTATGTAATCAGTCGCATTCATCATTGCATATCATATCTCAGTCTCTTCATTGCATATCATATCACATCATGTATCATTGATTTGGGCTGCTTAGCATGAGTGTTGTGAACCCGAGAGACTGGAGAGATTTATTATTGGGTGAGGTCGAGGGGCTGTTTTGAATGATATTTATGGGATCAGGTTGCACGCTGCAGCAGATATTATTGATTCACGATGAAATCAGGATGCGCGCCGCAGTAGGATTTATTAGTGCTTGGGCTAAATCTTCCCCTCCAAAGTCTGCACACCCACTGTGAGCGCAGTTGCTATTGATTCATGATGGGAGTGGGCTGCACATCGTAGCAGGTATTGTACAGTACTGAGTGATTGAGTGTGATAAGTGAGAATTGAGACAGTCGGGTTGAGTACTCTTAGAGTGTGAGTATCCGAGGCTTTCATTGTGTTGCATCACCATGGAAGCGTATTGGCATGTAGACATAGAGATGTCATATTCCTCATATCATTGGCATATTTTACCTATATTGAGCTTAACTGTTAAACCTGGAAGCATGTCTACTTTCATGTAGTATTACCTGCAAATTATGAGTTCTCTTAGATATTATTGTCATATTTTCTGTAAATTTTCGTACTGTTAATTCTATATGTGGACTGTATTGTTGGAGCTCGTCACTACTTTCAGCTCAAAGGTTAGACTTGTTACTTATTGAGTTGTTTGTACTCACGCTACACCCTCCACTATGTGTGCAGGTCCAGGTGATTTCGGGCACGGTGGTTGCTGATCTTGGAGTTTCAGCCGTTCGAAGATTATCGAGGCAGCTACCTTGGCATCCATAGACCTTGACTCTCCTTCCCTAATCTCTCAGTTTTACTTATTCATTTCTACTTTCTTCGAAAGTGTATCAAACTATGTTAGTGTATAGTTGCTCATGTACTCTGTGACACCCGAGTTTTGGAAAAATCTGTATTGAGTTGCGTTTTCATCCAGTTTTGTGAGATTTTTACTTACTTAAACATGTTTTAGTATATTTTGAATTTAAAAATATTGGTATGTGTGAGTTGTCGGCTTGCCTAGTATCATGATAGGCGCCATCACGCCATGTTGTGTTTTGGGTCGTGATATTAAGTGTCAGGATCCAAAATCCCACCATAGGGAATGTTATGGAACCTAGTCTCTAAAACTAGGTAAGTCTATCAAACATTGATGTCAATCAAATATAATAACTTCAAATTTAAGTAAAACTACAAAATATGATAATACTACCAACATTGATACAATAAGAAACTTCTCAAACCCGGTGATACTGAGTAATAAGCTCTATATGGAATACATTAAATCTCGAGGAGTACAATACTGCTTGGAATAAATAAACGGTAGAAAAATAAAGTAAAGAGGGAGACTCTGAGGCCTGCACACGAAGCAAAAGGGATACCTTGAAGTTTCCAACAAGCTCTAGCACACCTCCTAGCGATCAACTCGATCCGAAGTACATGGATCAGCACAAACAATGTGCAGAAGTGTAATATGAGTATACCACGGTCGATACCCTATAAGTATCAAGACTAACCTCGAAGGAGTATTAACGAGGTTCGAGCCATGATACTCTCTAGTCAAATAATCTGTACAAGATATCAAAAGAAAATTGACAACAAAGTGTATAACGGAACAAATATCAATAACCTCGTAGAGCGTGTAACAACAGCTCAATATGGAATAACCCATCTTTGGAAACAAAATATCAAATAGGGGTGGGGCATGTGATAGCATGTCAAAATCAACTAACAACTCATAAAACTCTTATCATAGTAGTGACTTATACGGTTGGCCTTACCTAACTGGATGGGTTAGGTGTCATCACAACTTAGTGAAATTTGGGTTGTGACATTCTTCAGAGTATTTTTTGGGTCCAGTAGGATTTCCCTTATCATCCACAGCCATAGGAATCTTAGGACCTTTCTGAAAGATATCCCAAAGGTCTAATTCTTCACCTTCTAGAAAATCAGGCATTCTTTCTTTCCACCATTCATAGTAGTTTTGGTGAACAATGGTGGCCTAACAGTTGATTTTTCTTCTTGAGCATCTGGGGGATGCAGCCATCGTAGATTCTTTCAAGATGTTACTCTTTGGTGAAAGAGTTTATTCTAATACCAATTATTATTCTCAGATTTCACTTTAACACAAGGGGGGAGGGTAAATTATGTATTACTCGATTTTTGTAAAATAAAAAAGCTGGTTCTTTTACTTTATAGACACAAACAACTAGCTAAATGTTAAATTTAAATAACACAACAATTTTACACGGACAACGTCCTTGCTGAATGGAGTAAAATTACGACATATCAGTATAGGATTTGCCTTCAAATTTTCACTAACTTCAAAGAGCATATTTTAGGTTATAACTCAATAACCAGAGAAGTTAACTCTAGTACCCATTCCCTGAAATCAACTTAATTGTAGCTACTTTTTCCAAACTAACACTAGTCTAGAAGCGAAGGAAAAACTCAAAGTTTATATTAACCTATGATTACACTTCTTTAAAAGCAATTAGGTTATAATTCAAGAACGGAGGGCTAACTAGTAAAGTTGTTGTCATGTGACCAGGAGTTCACGGGTTCAAGCGGTGAAAATACTCTCTTGCAGAAATGCAATGTAAGGCTGCATACAATAGACCCTTGTGGTCTGGCCCTTCTCTGGACACCGTGCATAGTGGGAGCTTAGTGCACCGGGTTGCCCTTTTATGTTACAATTCAAGAACAATGACTCAACCTAAAAACAAAAGAACTAAGCAGCTTCCTCTTCAAAATCTGGTTCTTTTGGTTGAGCAGTTTGAGTCTGTAAGAGCACCTTCCTGCTTGGTATTGCTATTGCCAAGAGTGATTCCATGAAACTGTGCGAATAGCATGAGAGTTGAGTAGCAGCACTAAGGCTCTTTATATAGTTGTGAGGTTGGCTGAAATTCTTCTCCAATTAATACTCCAAAACATAGAATATTTCGATTAAGAAAAACCTTTCCTTATTAGACTTGGTTTTCTTATTTGTTTCTAACTCTTCAACTTTTTCTTCACTGCAAGCTTTTTATAACTGATAAAACCCTTTTGAACACGGATTTCTCCCGTTAATATTTTCCTTATAGCGTATGAATTGACTTCTTTCTGGTATCCAACTTGCATTCAACTTTCTGTGTTTCTGATCAATGTCTTCACCATTCTGTTCCATTGTACCACAGAACTGGCATTATCTGCATGTCATGATGTCTTGACACAAGTTAGTAGCATAGAAAATAACATTAATAAAACCTCATGATTTTTTCAATAAATTTGCTAATCATCAAAATTTAATTTGCGCTAAACATGATCATCTCAACACAAACAAATTCGAGTTTGAAGTGCTAGTCAAGATCTTGGTAATCTTCTTTTTCTTTGTCACAATGAGCTCTTGTTCGGCTGTCGGTTGGTATATGTTTTGCAATGCGGTTATAAAGTAAAACTTAAAATATACCACAGTTTTTGAATGTTATCGCTTTGAATGTAGTGTTTATAATTTTTTTGCAACTCTTTTCACCTTAAATTTTTTGTCAAATATGAAATTATCTTACTACTATGTCCTAGATGAGGTACATACTAACATAATGAAGATCAATTTTTATTATGTGACTCTAATGCAACTTTAGGGGTATTAAAGATATTTTTTGATTGAAGATTTGCATAGTAACAAGTTAACATTCAGTTCCAAAGCAAACATCCTATCTGAAAGCAATTTTTCGTTTTTCTTTTTTTTTCTTTTTTTTTGAAAAAGGCAACATGTTTTTTTTTGTCTGAAAGATAATATATTAATAATTAAGTAATGCGTACAGAGGGTTGGTGCCTAACTGGCACCCTATCACAAACTATTGTGCTATTACAAAATACTAGATTACTACTAATAGTTCTGGTTGTCATGGTATTCCTAGTGGAACTATCATCACAACAACTAATTACATACGAAGGTGGCTGAGCAAGATTGCCACTGTGATTATGCCAAGCAGTGCCTTGGCATGTGGGAGGTCCCGCCAAACATTCCTTGTCTTCCTCAAAAATTTGCGCAACAAAAGTTGGAATATCTTCAAAACCACTTGGCATATAGTCGTTTCAAAAATTGTGGCTTGCCTTTGCTAGCTGATCTTGTACCATGTTTTGTTCTCTGTACGCATGTTGCACTACAGGATTACCTAGCTGGCCCAGATAGTACCTGCAATCATTAATCATGTTAGAGAATGCAACATTATCAGATTGTAATAGCATGATAACTTCCTTTGCATCCACCTCCAGTGAACTTATGTTGTTTTCATATGCCAATTTTAGGCCATGGGTTAATGCATAGAGTTCTGCCGAGATGGATGAGTCGCATGGTGCAGGTCCTGAGAAGCCCAATATCCATTCAACTTTGAAATTTCTAATTATTCCAACAATTCCAGCAGTTGTGGCTGAATGTGCTCCATCTGTATTGAGTTTGTAAAAGCTGGTATTTGGAGGATTCCATTTAACATTTTTGATAAAATTTCGTCTATGATTAGTCTTATGAGAAGAAGCAGCCAAGTAGGAGTATTCAGCTGCTTGTTGAGTTGTGTGTTTGAGAAGAATGTTATCTCTAGTCATGTGATAAAGATTGTTGTTTCGTGTTATCCAAATATTTCATAAGCTAATTGGTAAGTAGGTATAAGAATTTATATTGTAAGGGAGTATAATATCTTTATAGCTATTAGCTCACATAACCAACTTTGTGTGACTGAAAAGTGGGTAATGTGATCAATATGGTGCATGAGTCCTAATTCCAGCCAATATTTCCTAGCATTTGCACATTCAAGGAAAATGTGTTTTATTGATTCTTCCTCCCTTTGACAGTATAAGCAAGTTGCATCCTGGATGATTTTGATATTTTTTTAAGAAAAGTCGTGTTGGTAACCTATTGTGGCATAGAAGCCAGATAAAACTTTTAATTTTTGGATGAATAGGAAGTTTCCAAATCCAGGAAAAAATATTTGAATTAATCGTAGCTAGTTTGAGTAGGTCCTATTATTTTAGTAATAATTGATTTTAGTCTATTGACAATTATCTTCGTAATTAACTTATAAATAGTATTGCATTAGCTTATGGGACGATATTGCTGAATAGTTGCAGGATTTCTTTACCTTTGGAATGAGACAAATGAAGGTTCTATTTAATTCTTGAGGCATAGTCTTAGTATTAAAGATGTCCTCACAAAAGAGAGTAACCTTATTACCCACATCCGACCAATATTTTTGGTAGAAAAACGGATAAAGCCCGTCTGGACCTGGAGCTTTTTTTTTTTTTGGTCGAACAAAAAAGATTTTATATATCACTTGTCAAAATTACATCTCAAATACAATTAGACTACTCTCTAATTGTCCTTACTATCACTTATTTACAATCATATCTATACATTTTCTTTATAAATGTTTTCAATCCAGTTTTTCTCTCTACCCGTATGGCTTCTTCTAATTGCTTCAAGTGCTTTATACTTGCAATCTTGCTTAATCTTCTTGTATAACTGCCCAGGTCGTATCACCTTATGTTCCCATAATGCTATATTCCTTGCTCTCCATATGTGATAAACAACTGCTGCTAGTATAGTTAACACTACAGCTCTGCATGATTTCCCTTTGATATTCCTGGTCATTCTTCTCCCTAGCCCCTGCAGCTCCAGATTCCTGGTATCTATGCTTAACCACCTCAGCGTGTCTTCTATGCACCTCCTCGCAAGTGGACATTCAAAGAACAAGTGAGCAATTGTTTCTTCTGCATTTCCACATATCTCACAAAGGCTGTCTTTGCTGATTCCCATTCGTTTCAGCCTTTCTTTCGTCATGAGTCTGTTATGTGCCACCAGCCAGCAGATTATACTGTGTTTTGGCATGTTCAATTTATTCCATACCCACCCTCGCCAAGGCCAGTCCTCCTTAGTCCCCTTTCTTCCAGTCATAACCCACTCCT